ACATACATATATAAAGGAATTTGAAGACACAAGGTACTAGGTTTTGAGTTGCATGTCATGTTATATTCTGGTTTGTCACTTATTGTCTTTGGAAATCAAAAATGTTAGTTGAGAAGATATAGTAATAAGGCTACTATTTAATACTATTTAACTGATTTTACATCAAATTAAAGATCATTAGCTGAAATCTTTCTACAGGACTTGCTGTAATGATTCAAACACAAGTGCATGAGGATGAAAAAAATCCAATTATATCATTTGTTTATCAATATAATTTTACATACATATTTAAGGAAAGGCATTGTTATTTGTGTGGCACATTTCAAACACGGTGGAAATTCAAAAGATTTAACAAGTAAGGCAAAGAAAAAACACAATAAAAATTAAAACGAAATTAAATGCAAAATATTAATTAAAAAAAGATTTAAACAAACAACAAAGTTCAACAAAGAAATTATTTAATTACAGGTACAGAAAAGGAGCTGAGTTTTCCACATTAAAGCTCACCGGGAGTTGGCTCAATCTGTGTGCAGCATCATAGCTAAAAACAGCTTCACGTCTTTTGGTCCTGATTGCTTCCTTAAGATCCCAGAGACCTGTTGGGTTTATATATTTCAGACAGATCAGACATGTATCTTGACCTCAGGTTGTTAAGTGACTATAAACCAGCATCACCAGTAATGTTTATCCTATAACTAACTGGAAGCCAATGTAAGCATTCAAGAACAGGAGTCTGGTGTTTTTTTCTTAAACCTGTGGGAGTAGTGTTGTGCATGTGCTGAAGACATCGTCACCATGCTGGACACAATGGCATATATGATTTTTTTCCAAATCTTCTCTTGACATGATACCTCTAAGTGTTGCTATGTGTTTGAGATGATAACATGCGGATTTAGTTTGTTGTCTTTGTTGAAGCCCAGTTTCATCAAACCTTCTCACTCAAAGGATAACACAAAAAACTTTTACACATGATAAATAAGGCCTTAGAAAAATCTGATAGTGACATATCAATGTATGTATCGGCCTGGTTTCCCAAGCAGCCAGACAAAAAAATACCAATTATGTTTGCCCTCTATTAGCTGTGAACAAATCTGCTTTGCTTCTTCATTCAACGGACTGGCCTCACAAAATCAGGCCTACACTGCCACCATGTGGTAGCTGTGGAGACTTTTTAAATGTCTCCACAGTCTGCATTACTTGTTATCAACATATTCTACTCTGGCCCTGTGATGGACTGACGATCTGTCCAGGGTGCCCCTGCCTTTCCCCTACTGTCTGCTGGGCTTGGTTCCAGCTACCCCACAAACCTCTTCAGAATAAGAGGTATAGATAATGGATGGATCGATGGATATTCTACTCTGCCAGTGTGTATCACCATAGCTTTAACAAATGTAGAGGCTCATAAGCCTTCTTTGAAAGAGGATATATAATTACTGTTAGGTAACTGTAGGATGTTACATCTATATTGTTGTTTCCAGCCATTGGTTTGATTTTTCAGTTCACATACTGTGCTGGTGTGAAATACCTGTCAGCATAACACAGCATAATTCACCACAAATTACATCTCCCAAAATTATCATACAGTTGATTATTATTATTATTATTATTACTACTAGTAGTGGCAGTAAAAGTAATAATAATAATAACAGTAGTGGTATTCCTTCAAAAAATGATTATTATTTACACAAACAATTAATTCCACAAAATGCTTTATGTTCAAATGCTACCAAACACGGTACAGTTATTGTAGATCCTGGAGGTGAAATCATTTGTCGAAAATTGAGGACAAAGAGCCAATAATTGCCTTATAATGCCCTCAAACAAAACATTTCTGTGTTGATCAAAATAATCTGTGATTTTCTTTCAGGGTTTTATCTGTAAATGTGACTTGTCCAGTTTCAGAATCATAGTGATGTTTCTCTCCAATTTCTGGCACTTCTGTGGCACTTGTGCTTCAAAAACGGTTTGATATGTATGAGCAAATAAAACGTTTTCGTTTGTATGTTCCTTGTTTTTTCTAGGAAATGTAATTTATGTTGTGAACACTAGAGGGGGCAGTCTACTCAGTCTCCATCATTTCCTGAACCTACTAACTAAATGTATAATTTCTGTATGTAAAGTTCATCTAAAGTCACAGCAACAGGAGACTTGGGCACTGGCATTCAGATGTAACATGAGTGTTGATGGAAAGGAAAATGAAAGCACAAAATAGGCAGGGGCATAATCCCTCAACAAAGATGCCAAGGTAGAACAGTCAGCTGTCAGTTTGCACTGCTAGACAGCTCCTCCATATTATGCAGACACACAGCTGCTGTGCATACATTCCACACATCTGGAGCTCAGTACTGGTATAGGGGGTTTCTATCACTGTTCTCTGACCCTCTTTCTAAATTTATCAGGCCTTGTCATCACGTGTGTCTCTCATATTTCAGCCGATGAGACTGGCTAAAAATAGAAAATCACTGATACAGATTAACATGGCTAGTCTCTTCTCTGCTCTCACTCCATTAAAAACAACTATTTCTCATCTGACACACTTGCAGCCACAGACTCCCTCCTTCTCTATGTGTCTTGACCTTGTATTACTGACCTCACCCGTTATAATGTATGTGAGGAGGGGGTGGAAGGTGTCAAATAAACACGTAGGACCACAAGAACAGCTGTATGTTTTGATCTGTATTAGTAGTATACTGTTTTTCATGT